GAGCATCCCAAATAAATGCCATAAAGGATAGTGATAATCCTCGGGGCTAGACACCAGCCCTGCCATTTGCACCATCTGCAGAACTAACTCCTAGGGAGATGAACACTCTCCTGCCCCTCCCTTTTGTCTCCTAATTTCTGAGTCCTTGTCAGTTGCCTCATTACTTTGTGCTTACTTTAACATTTTTTCTTATTAGATTGAATGGAAATTGAAAGCTTTCTTGTCTTTAATTTTTGATGAAGACCTATTTTGATCTTTATCAAAACTGGTAAAATAAAAATTTAGGACTGCTTGTTTCAATGAAAACAATTTTTTTTTTTAAACTAGCTTGCTTCGCTCATTAAGTTATATGCCTAGCACCTGTAATTCTCGAATTCAGGGTCCCTGTTTTGGCTTAAACAAGTTCCTATTGATTGATGTTTTTTAGAAAGAGTCTCACTCTATCACCCGGGCTGGAGTGCAATGGCACAATCACAGCTCATTGCAGCCTTGACCTCCTAGGTTCAAGCAATCATCCCACCTCAGCCTGCGTGTGGTAGCTAGGACCACAGGTACACGTCACCATGACTAGCTAATTTTTAAATTTTTTGTAGAGATAGTGTCTTGCTACGTTGCCCAGGCTGATCTCAAACCCCTGGGCTCATGCAATCATTCCACCTTGGCTTCTGACAGTCCTGGGATTACAGGTGTGCCAGCCAAATTCTTTTTTAAAATGCAGAAATTCAAAGGTGCCAAGAACATACATTGAGGAAAGGACAGTCTCTTTAATAAATGGTGCTGGGAAAACCGGATATCTATAGGCAGAACAATGCAACTAGACTTCTATCTCTTGCCGTGTACAGCAATCACATCAAAATGGATTAAGGACTTAAATCTGAGGTATCAAACTTTGAAACTACTGAAAGAAAACACTGGGGAAACTCTTCAGGACATTGGTCTGGGCAAAGACTCCTTGAGTAATACCCCAAACCACAGGCAACCAAAGCAAAAATGGACAAATGGGATTACACCAAGTTAAAATGCGTCTGCACAGCAAAGGAAACAATCAACAAAGTGAAGAGACAACCCACAGAATGAGAGAAAATGTTTGCAAACTATCCATCCGACAAGGGATTAATAAGCAGAACATATAAGAAGCTCAAACAACTTAACAGTAAAACATCTAATAATTTGATTTTAAAAATCTAATAATTTGATTTTTAAAATTCAGTGCAAAAGATCTGAGTAGACATTTCTCAAAAGAAGACATAAAATGGCAAACAGGTCTATGAAAAGGTGCTCAATATCACTGATCATAAGATAAATGCAAATCAAAACTACAATGAGATATCGTCTCACCCCGGTTAAAATGGCTCTTATTCAAAAGACAGGCAATAACAAATGCTGGTGAGGATGTGGAGAAAAGGGAACCCTCGTACACTGCTGGCGAGAATGTAAATTAGTAGAACCAAGATGGAGAACAGTTTGGATCCTCAAAAACCTTAAAAGAGAGCCACTATATGATCTTGCAATCCCACTGTAAAATATATACCCCAAAGAAAGAAAATCAGTATATCGAAGAGATCTGCTCTCCCACATCCGTTCTAGCACTGTTCACAACAGCTAAGGTTTGCAAGCAACCAAAGTGGCCATCAACAAATGAGTGGATAAGAAAACACAGTACATATACACAATTCAGCTGTGAAAAAGAATGAGATCCAGTCATCTGCAACAACGTGGATGGAACTGGAGGTTATTATATTAAGTGAAATAAGCCAGGCACAGAAAGACAAACTTTCTACCTTCTCACTTATTTGTGGAAGCTAAAACTCGAAACAATTGAACTCATGGAGATTGAGAGTAGAATGATGGTTACCAGAGGCTGGGAAGGGTAATGGGTGGGGTGAGGGAAAAGGGAATGGTTAATGGGTAAAAAAATATAGACAGAATGGGCCAGGCGCGGTGGCTCACACCTGTAATCCCAGCACTTTGGGAGGCTAAAGTGGGCGGATCACAAGGTCAAGAGATCGAGACCGTCCTGGCCACCATGGTGAGACCCTGTCTCTACTAAAAATACAAAAATTAGCCAGACATGGTGGTGCACGGCTATAGTCCCAACTACTTGGGAGGCTGAGGCAGGGGAATCGCTTGAACCTGAGAGGCGGAGGTTGCAGTGAGCCAAGATCGCACCACTGCACTCCAGCCTGGGCGACAGAGCGAGACTCTGTCTCAAAAAAATAAAAAATAATATGTATATGTGTGTGTGTATATATATATATATAGAGAGAGAGAGAGAGAGAGAGACAGAATGAATAAGATCTGATACTTGATAGCACAACAGAGTAACTGAATTCAAAAATAATTTGTTGTACATTTTAAAATAACTGAAAGTATATTTAGATTTTTTGTAACACAAAGGATAAATGCTTCAGGTGATGAACAATCCATTTACCCTCATGTGATTATTACACTCTGTATGCCTATATCAAAATATCTCATGTAGCCCATAAATATATACACCTATTATGTACCCACAAACATTTAAAAATAAAATAAAAAGTCAAAATAAATTTAATAAAAAATAAATGCATAAGTTTCTGGGATAACTAAGGCCGGCGGGAATTTTCACGTTCCGTGAGCCTCTCTGCTCTCCTCCTGGCGGAGGCCAGCTACCTTGGGGATTTGTGCTGGGGAATGGAACGAATAAGGGGCATGCGGCTGGTGAAATTCAAGCAAAGCAGCTATTGCAACACTCAGGGCCATGGGCTGAGAGTGCCCCATTTTGCCCCTTCCTGAAGGTGGGTGAGAATGGAGGGAGAGGAGGACGACCTGCTGGTGCTTCTGGCTCTTTCTGGACACCCATTTCCTGCCCCTTCCCTTGGAAGAACAGATAATTTGGGACCTCAAAGGATTTTCAGAAAGGCAGGGACTCAACACTTGGGTGGAATTTGGTCAGAGACCAGCCTGAAGGAATAGGAAAGGCAGGGTTGGAGCATCAGGAGAAGAAGAAAGCAACAAAAAGAGAGGTTGAAAGTGTCAAAGAAATCACTGTCTGCAGGTCTGCCTAAGGCCTGATAGCAGCTGCCCTTGTGTGCCACAAATGCTGGAGTTTGCCAATGTCTTCCATTAGTCAATTAGTCACATGGGCAGTGGGGAGTGGTCTGGGTGGAACTGAGCCCTGAACCAAAGCGTAAAATGTTTATGTCTTTATCTTCTGCTATTTTGCCCAAGTAACTTTTTTTTTTTTTTTGGAGAGCAGTGGTGCAATCATTGAATCATTACTCACTGCAGCCTCGACCTCCTGGGCTCAAGCAATCCTCCCACCTCAGCCTCCTGACTAGCTAGGGCTACAAGCATGTGCTACCAAGACCAGCTAATTTTATTTTGTTTTCTTTGGCAGAGACAGGGTCTTGCTATATATTTCCCAGGCTGGTCTCAAATTCCTGGCCTTGAGTGATTCTGGAGCCACTGTATCCAGCCCAGGGACTTTTAAAGAAATTATTGTCATCTCTATAGTTTAACTTCAATTTTCCAGGGATAGAGCAGTTATCCTACCCTGAATGTCTTCCCCATTTGCTGTGAGGAGTTAGGTATGAAGGACTGTCTTTCCCACTTGGTCGCAAAAGGAAACCACTGACTTCTCAAGCGCAACTCTACCTTAGTATGCTCCAGGAGAATAAAGCCTTTGAGACCAAGTTAATAATGACAACAATCATAACCACCCTTCATTGAACACTGTTATCTACTGTGCTAGACGGTTTACATACCCCATTTCTAATATTCCCAAGGGTCCTACTAGGTACATGTGATTATTTCCGTTTTACAGGTTGGGAAACAAGCCCCAACTCCCCTGAGATCATGCAGCTAATCCCAGCGGCAAGGGGCCTCTCAGTGCCTCCTCCCAGCTCTTACTGGGGCAATTTGAAGGACACTCTGGGGCAAGAGGGGGCAAGTCTCTCCCTGGGGAGTGGGATGACCAGCCCCTTCTGGTCTGCGAGACATTTGCCCATTTCAGTCACTGCAATTGCAGCTGCCGGCTTTTGAGCATCTGCCACTTCCCATGCATGGGGCATGCTTTTTTTTTTTTTTTTAATTGAGACAGAGTTTTGCTCCTGTTGCCCAGGCTGGAGTGCAATGGTGCAATCTCGGCTCACTGCAACCTCCACCTCCCAGGTTCAAGTGATTCTCCTGCCTCAGCCTCCTAAGCAGCTGGAATTACAGGCACACACCACCACGGCCGGCTAATTTTTGTATTTTAGTAGAGATGGGGTTTCACCGCGTTGGCCAGGCTGGTCTCGAACTCCCGACCTCAGGTGATCTGCCTGCCTTGGCCTCCCAAAGTTCTGGGATTACAGGTGTGAGCCACCGCGTCTGGCTGGGGCATGCTCTTTACAGAGGCAATCTCTAAGTCCTTTCCTCCATTTTTCAAATGATAAAGCCCAGACAGGTTAAGTTGCCTGTCCAAAGTCACCAGGAGAGCAAGGAACAGAGCCAAATCCACAGTGAGACTCTCTGACCTCGATCTCTGACTGCTCTGTCCACATTACTTCCGTCTGCCCCTTCCAGGGTATGGTTTGGGGAACCCAGTGCCTGCTCGGGCCCTGAATTTTGCCTGCTGTGGTTGGAAAGAACCTGTTCTGACATTTGATTTTGGTTTTAAAATAATCCTGTTCCTCTGAATAATCCTGTTCCTCTGGTGTCCACTGGGAATTTCTATAGGTTTCCTCATCTGCACAACTTCCTCCTTTGGCTGGTTTGCAAAGGGCAGGGGTGGTTAGATTCCCCAGAGGTCAAGTCTCCCCAAGAGGCCCTGAAGCCCTTTTTGGGCTGCACAGAAGGAGGCTGAAGGGGGAAGAAGACAAACATAAGATGTTGACACTTCCTCCTCTCCATCCCTAAACCCCTCATTCTTATCAGCAAAGATCTCAAACTGAAGTGTGAGGTTGCACCACCGGGCCCCAGGATGAGGGAGAGGGAAAGCTGTACCAGATGCGGTTTGTGCAAAGGAGCTCAGGCCTCACCTTGGTAAATGTGAGATTCACAAATCCTCCCTGAAAATTCAACAGAAGGTTGGAGTTTCGGGTGCCACAGTTCCCAGAGGCTTGGGTTGCGTTGGGGTCGAGGTTGAAGTATCTCCGAGGTGAAAAAACCTAAACCAAGTAAGACAGATCAGCTAAATGAGACATGGAAGAAAACTCTAGCTAAGGAACCAGAGGCATAGGCTAGTTTGTGAGCCTGAAACTTAAGGCTGAGGATTCACTGGAGAACTGCAAAGTCCCCAGACAGCATCTCTCGTTTCCAAACTGTTATGTTCAAAAGCTTTCTTAAAGAGGAGTTCTCTCACAGAGGAGTTCCTTTGTAAATAATTGATGGCAGGTATATTCCTGATAAGCTGCGTGGAATTTATGTTAAGTTAAACATGTTAAATGATACTAGAGGGAAGGGTTTGCTCTGTAAGGTACCTCTGTCACAAATAGCAACCTGGATGTAGAAGTTTTATTTGAAATCATTGAAGTTTGCAGAAAAAGAAAATATTGATGGCTGGGCACGGTGGCTCACGCCTGTAATCCCAGCACTTTGGGAGGCCAAGGCGGGTGGATCACAAGGTCAGGAGCTCGAGACCAGCCTGGCCAACATAGTGAAACCCCATCTCTACTAAAAATACAAAAATTAGCCAGGTGCGATGGCAGGCACCTGTCATCCCAGCTACTTGGGAGGCTGAGGCAGGAACATCCCTTGAACCAGGGAGGCAGAGGTTGCAGTGAGCCGAGATTATGCCACTGCACTCCAGCCTGAGCAACAGAGCGATACTCTGTCTAAAACAAAAACAAAAACAAAAACAAACAACAACAACAACAATAACAAAAAACAAAGAAAGAGAAAATATTGTTTTAGTGATTCCTTTAGTACATCAAGTAATCACAACCCCTCTCCCTCGGTTTTCTCATTAATATGGATTTCCATATTAATGTCACAACTGTCTAGAACCATAGAGACCATCTGTTTTAAATCTTTCATTTCACAGGAAAGGATATAAGGCTTGTAAGTCTTCTGGAGTGGCAGGGAGGGGCTGAGATCAGCACTGAACATTCCCCGACACTCTGCCCATGTTTGCTAAAAGTGAGGGGTGTGAATATTTAAATTTTTGTTTGCCTTCCTCTCTCCAAACAATTGCTATTAGTTTCTATTTTCATGTGTATTCTCAAACATAATCACCTTTTAATGGAGCACCTTGGAGAGAGATGAGCTCACAGCTATTGGTTTCACTTAAAGTAAAGATACAGCATGTAGAGAATGATCATTCCCAGCAAGCCAACCTCCACTCAGACTCTTTGAAGATAGTGTTATAGTCCTGTGGCCCCAACTTACCGATTCCTTGTCTTGAACAATCAGCTGTATCCCCATCTCTGCTTTTATACAGAGTCTGCTTCCATTTAGAACTTGATAAATTCCAGTCTTGACTGAAGATGGCTGAGGTGCAAGGGTGGACCCAGGAACCGTGGAGGCAGGTGCGGCTGTTCGGGTGGTATTGTGGGCAACTGCCGTTGTTCCTGGGGCATGGGTGGGTTGAACGGGCTTCTGACGGGTTGTGCTTTTGTGTGGTGCTATGGATAAAGTTGCTGGAAGGGTGGTCTGGTTACCGGGTTGAGTGGCGTTCCCAGTTGTGTGGTTGACGGTTGATGGACTGGTTCCAGTTGTATGAGCTGGTGGTGTGATGGTGGGTGGCAGTGAATAAGGGGCTAAGCTGGGGCCGACTGTAACTTTAGTAAGTGGAGGAGCTGTGTGTGAGTTGTTGGATGTGGCCTGGGTTGTGACCAGGGTGTAGATAATTGGGCTGGTGGTTGGAGTGTTTTTTGTAGTTACTGGAGTAGTTGTTGGAGTTTTTACTGTAGCCGCTGTTTGAAAGGTGATGTGACCATCCGTTAATCTTGCTGCTAAAGTTTGGTGAGGTGCTTGGTTAGCTGGTTGCTGGACAGGTTTTGCTATGTCCTGTCCTGTTGCTGCTGCAGTAGGTTGAGAATAATCTCTGGTTTTTGGAAATGCTTTTGCTCTCATTTGACTGCCATCGTGCAAAATTACTGAAAATTAGGAAACAAACGTGTTAAAAACACTAACCAATTGCTTACAAGGTCCCTCTCCCACCCCCATCTTGATGTTTGTTCATAAAAAACCTAACATGCAAATTTTTATATTGGGAGGAAATTTACAAGGGTATAACAATGAAGCAAACATCATCAAAGATTCTACCCCTAGGCCACAAATGTAATGTTCTGGTTGTATCCATGTCTTTTACAGGGTTATGACAGTTCCACAGCACCCAGCCCCTTTGCCTGTGTGCGGTGTGGTACTAATACACACCAAAGCGATCGTGCTTAGCTAGATATCTAAGTGTCAATGCCTCTTCATTCTCCACCTTCAAATGTGAATCCGAACAGCTGACATAAAAAAGTGTTCCTGGGTGAAGAGCTGCTATATGACCTGATAGAGCTGGGGCAGCATGAATGATGGCAACAAAGCTTTACAGAGTTATACAGTTTTCACAGAATCACATAATCCCAGGTTTGAAAGGGGTCTTAAAGGTCTAGTCCAAACCCCAGTCTTTTTTTTTTTTTTTTTTTTTGAGACAGAGTCTTGCTCTGTCACCCAGGCTGGAGTTGCAGTGGTGCAATCTCAGCTCACTGCAATCTCCACCTCCCGAGTTCAAGCGATTCTCCAGCCTCAGCCTATTGAGCAGCTGGGATTACAGGCACCCGCTACCATGCCCGGCTAATTTGTGCGTTTTTAGTAGAGATGGGGTTTCATCATGTTGTCCGGGCTGGTCTCGAGCTCCTGATCTCGTGATCCACCTGCCTCGACCTTTCAAAGTGCCGGGATTACAAGCGTGAGCCACCGTGCCCAGCCCCGAACCCTAATCTGATGTCTGAGTTACACCTACAGATCTTTGCCATGTGTTCATCCAATCTAGATTTAACTGTTCCCAATGACAGGAGACTCATCTCTTCACAATATAGTCCTTTCCATTTTTTATCTTGTTCTTTGTTGTTTTCTCAACATAGACAAATTCCTGTCATTTTCTTACGTAACTTTTGGAGTGGCCCAGCCTTTCTCAACCAAGGAAGAGAAGTCATAACTGCTCTGATATTTCAGGTGGGCTGTCCTTCGTGTTCTGGCTTTCATGGCAGCTCCTCAGAGCATCTTCCTTGTCCTCCTTATATAAAATAGTTCCCCATATCCATGCTTCTCCACTGCAGTGTTAAATTCATTGCTTTCACTGCATTAATTACAACTTGTAATTATGTATGGGGATGGTATTCAAATATTTAACAATCAGCCTGGCCAGTATGTACTAGCCAAATATTTTCCTGATTAAATGTTTGCTTTTGGTTTATTTGTTGGTTGTGGATCTTTCCCAGTAGATTAACAGCACCCCGAAGGTGGGAACTGTGTGCACCGTTTTCACCAGCAGTGCCTGCACATAGACAGTGTTCAGTAAATATAGGTCGAATGAAAAACTGACTGAATGTGTTAATGAGGACAATAGCATTGTAGGCCTTTTAGGATTATTGTAAGGCTCAAATGAGTTGGTTTAAGTAAAACTCTTCATGGACCATTAAGCACACAGACGGTGTCTCCTGTTGTCACAGGTTCTCTCCAGAGGCCATCTTTAAGGGCAGAGGGCCTCTGGTTCTTTTCCAACTAGAAGAGGTCTATCCTTGTCTCCTTCCAGGCACATAGGGATCCAGAAAAGTGGACAAAACACAGATGATGGGCCGGGCACGGTGGCTCACACCTGTAATCCCAACACTTTGGGAGGCCAAGGTGGGCGGATGACCTGAGGTCAGGAGTTCAAGACCAGCCTGGCCAACATGGTGAAGCCTCATCTCTACTAAAACTACAAAAATTAGCTGGGTGTGGTGACACAGTGCCTGTAATTGCAGCTACTTGGGAGGCCCAGGCAGGAGAATCACTTGAACCCGGGAGGCTGAGGTTGCAGTGTGTTGAGAACACACCATTGCACTCCAGCCTGGGCAATAAGAGCAAAACTCCGCCTCCAAAACAACAACAACAACAAACGGATGATGTCTTTAGGAGTCTGTGGTCAGGCACATGAGAGATGCCTGTGTCCCTTCAATTTTGTGGTTTCTCTGTGTTTACCCACAGACTCTCAGCTGTCCTGTGCTGGGCCGAGACTTGGGAGAACATGCAGAAAGGGAAAGGAGATCTTGCTATGCTAGTATTTACAAAGTCCTAAAGTTCATACCCAATAAAAATAATTCATATATGCCTTTTCTATCTCCCTCCTCCATTCAGTACACTTCTAAGAGGTTACTTTTCTCATATTAATAACAATAAAAATTCCAGGTTACTGGACATTTACTACATAGAAGGCCTTAGGTCAAGGGCCATCTTTTACCAACTTCTCTCAAAAACCCTTTGGTGGGTACTACTTTATCCATCTTTCAAATGAGGAAACTCAGGCTTGGAAAATTTCAGCCATTTGACCATAATGACACAACTGATCGAAGTTGAGGCAGAGACTTGAACACTGGTACATCTGAATCAAAGCTTGCCCTTGGGTTTGAGGGGTGGTGGAGGTGGGGTGTCGCTAGGAAGAATGGTGAGAGAAGACACAAAAGCAGAGGAGAGAGGAACAGGAGGGTGCCCTCCAGTGACCCCAATTCATGAAAACTTCATAATGATGATCCTTGGTGAGAGTTCCAAAATTTCATGTGCTGAAAAGGGGATTATTTTCCAGAAGAAAAGTTCTAACTTTAAGTCCAGTAGTAAGACCCATGAATTATTTCTGTACAACTGGTTTGCAAAATAGGAAAGACAAAAGCATCAGTTCAAATTGTCTTTATAACCTTATAAAAAGATCGACGATTATTAATGACATGAAGTTATTTGAGATCATTCTTTAAGAGTCTTTTTTTTTTAAATCTAAAATATCCATTTGGATAAGTTATATGCATGATACTTGAGAGTTGTAGGTTTGATGGGGTACAGGTTTACCTACAAACTTTTGTAAAATCCCTACACGTAGAACTTTTATGCCCATGTCATGGAACTTGGAGAAAGATTTTTCACTTTGAGATTATAATGGAGATTGAGTGTTGTTGAAGATTTATTTTAGCAATTCGTTTGGGTAAAACCCACATTGCTGGTTCTCTGGTCAAACACCAGTGAGAGCCCCATTAGATTCATACTATTATGATGGAGAAAGAGAATTCACTCTCAAATGTGGTTTCCAGGAATATCTTGTGGTGAAGAGTAAAGATTGCTACAGAGACCTCCAGGAGACTAGAAACCACTTGCCAGTCATTCTCTTGGGAAAGTGATTATATCCTTGCTAAAATCCTACTGTGTATGGCTGGTGTCTATAAGCTAAAGAGAATCTTCTCAATTGAGTACAATTTCCTAAACTGAGTAATGCACCCTTAAAAAAAAAAAAAAAAAAAAAAAGCCTTCCTCAAGATGCAACTAGAACTCTTCTCTCAGTGGTAATGAATGAACGCAAATAAATAAAAAAAAGGACGTAGTTGTTCACAAATGAACAGCATCCTAAACAAGCCAAGAAGATATATGGTACTTGGTCAAGGTGTGCTTGCCATGTAGGAAGCCTGTTGAGATGTCTTGATATGGTGTGTAGGTGTAGGTGTGTCTCTGGGTGGTGGACAGAAGGCTGGGCTAGCAGATGGCTCAACCAAAAGTGCCAAGTTTATGGATGTTACAGATTAAACCTGTCAGAGAAGTATAGTTCTCACCCCTTCTCCTTCCCTCTTCTGGCCCTCTCACTGCTCCTCCTCTCCCTGTAGGAGTGTGGTGCATAAAAGATAGGCAGGTGATTCGACTGGGGTAGGTATGCTCTGCATTGTAAAGTAGCTCAGAAAGACCATATGAGCTACTTTATAATGTATATGACCACACACATGGTCTATGTATATGACCACACATATCTGACTCATTTCTGTAAAAACTGGGTCACAGGTTTTAAATGGGATGTTTGGCCCTGTAGAGGTTTAGTCAAGGTCACAGGTTTGTCTGAGGCCTAGAAAGAGGGCAGTGGGGGACGGGCACGATGGCTCACGCCTGTAATCCCAGCACTTTGGGAGGCCGAGGCGGGCAGATCACGAGGTCAGGAGATTGAGACCATCCTGGCTAACACGTTGAAACCCGGTCTGTACTAAAAAAAAAAAAAGTACAAAAATTAGCCAGGCGTGGTGGCAGGCGCCTGTAGTCCCAGCTACTCCAGAGGCTGAGGCAGGAGAATGGCGCGAACCCGGGAAGCGGAGCTTGTAGTGAGTCAAGATCACACCACTGCACTCCAGCCTGGGCGACAGAGCGAGACTCCATCTCAAAAAAATAAAAATAATAATAAAAATAAATAAATAAATAAAAGAGGGCAGTGGGCAGAAGCAAGGGCAGGCATAGACCAGACTTTGTCTTGACCCTCCCTCTATTCACAGAACATAGCTCTGGTGTTCACACACTCATCTGCCCACCGCCACCCCAGCCTCTCCTCTCCAGAATTCAGGAGACTTCGCAAACAAGCACCCCAGGCCCTTGATCCATTGCTTGGACTCCACTAGATGGAAATTCGCATGAAGAGGAGTTAGAAGGTTTTGGTTCCCCTACAACCAGTGGGTGTGAGATGAGTCATTGCCCAGTCCCCTGGGAAAGTCAATGATTTCACAAGGGATCTTTTCTAGGTATTTTCCTGACAGTCAGTCCCTTCCCAGACAGCATTTGGTTGGTTTCCCTGCCGCACCACTCAACAGTATGTAGGGGTCTCCTCTCAGGCAGGCTCCACACCAGACACCAGGGGTAGGTCTTTGTTCTCGGCGGCACGGTGAGGCAGACACATGAGTAGACCATACTCCTCAGTGTGACTTGTTTTTTGTTTTTGTTTTTGTTTTTGTTTTCTCCTTGAGACAGGGTCTCACTCTGTCACCCAGGTTAGAGTGCAATGGCATGCTCAGGGCTCACTGTAGCCTCAGCTTCCTAGGTTCAAGCGATCCTCCCACCTCAGCCTCCCTAGTAGCTAGGACTACAGGCATGTGCCACCATGCCAAGCTAATTTTTGCATTTTTTGTACAGGGTCTCACCATGTTGCCCAGGCTGGTTTCAAACTCCTAGGATTAAGTGATCCGCCTACCTCAGACTCCCAAAGTGCTGGGGTTACAGGTGTGGGCCACTGTGCCCGACTGACAAGTGTCTTTATCAAATCCTCAGATACTATGAGAGTGTGGGTAGGGTGGGAATCCAAAACAAGGATACATTCTTCAGGCAGACAAGGGAGGAGATGGTTTCCAGACAGGAGGAAGAGGATGTGTAAAGGCATAGAGGCTTCAGAAGTCTTGTATGTCTGGAGAACATGACCAGAACACAGGGATGGTATGGGAAGGGAGGGGTGAGGAGGGGATACCAGCAGGGAGCAGGCCTGGCAGGACTTGGAGACTACACTCTGTCTGCAGAGCTCTGAGGAGCACAGTCAGGGAGTCATTGGAGCCCCACGGCCATGTCCAGGTTCAGGGAATCACAGTTTAGCCCCCAGCACCTTTTCTGGCACCTCTAGGGGCAGCAGAAGCGGCTCCAGCAGGGTGCAGCAGAGAGAATCAAGGAAACCCTAGAGCAGAAGGGGCACTAGCCCTGTGACAGACTGCTGGCTGACTATTCCAAAATCCAGTCTCTCCTTCTTTCTAACAGAACCTCAAGTTTCAGCTGAGCACTTGTTGCCTGGAATAAAGAGCACTGTGTCTAAGCCTCCTTTCTAGCTGGGTGGGAGCATATGACTGAGTTTTAGTGAAAGAAGAGAAGTATCAAGATCATGTGGACCTTCTGGGAAGGCTGGGTGAAGGCAGCTCAATCACCTGTGTGGCCTGCCTTTCTATAGCCCTTCTGTTTTTCCCCCTTTGACCAACCTGCAACTTGTATGTGATGGCTGGAGCTCCAGCCGACATGTGGAACCATGAGGAGGCCTTGAGGGTAGAAGTCACATACCTATATGTCGGATCCTAATGACAGATCCCCAGTGAAGCACCCCCACACTAGAACTGACCTGAATTTCTCTGGACATGTTTTCACATGAAAGAATAACAAGCAACTATTTTGTTTAATCTACTGTTATTTTGGCTTGTCTCTTACGTGTAACTGAACCTAAACTTAACTAATATGAACTTAAATCCCCCATTTTCTGGAGGGAAAATTTGAGATCAGGGAAGCATGTTGACTGGATAAAGATTACTCAGAGAGTTTACCCAAAAGCTCTGTCTCTCCTAGCAAAACTTTCTGGTGATTTTTGCTCATTTCCAATTCAACAAGGATTTCTTGAGCCTATACATGCAGGGCCATGTAGTACAGTAGTGTAGACCCTAAACCCCAAGGCCAGACTTCGTTTTTGTTTTGTTTTGTTTGAGACACAGTTCACTATGTTGTCCAGGCTGGTCTCAAACTCCTGGCCTCAAGTGACCTTCCACCTCAGGATCGCAAAGTGCTAGGATTACAGGTGTGAATCACTGCGCCCAGCCAAAACCAGATGTCTTGAATGCCAGTCTCAGGAATGCTACTCACTAAATGGGATACCATGAACATTTCCTTAACCTGCCTCTGCCTCAGTACCCTCATCGTAAAATAGGGATAAGAATAGCATCTACTTTTCAGGGTTCTTATGAGACTAAATAAGTTATAGGTAAGTAGATGTATGAATAAAGCACATAGGTTAGCTGCTATGGGCACAGGCTCTGGTTCAAAGCTTGACTCTGTCACCAGCTAGCTATGTGATCATGGGCAAGCTATTTAACCTCTTTGTGCTTCTATTTCCTCACAAGTAAAATGCAGATGATAAAAGTACTTACAAAGCTGTTTTGTGGATTAAAGCACTGAGAACAGTGCCTGGCATGCAGAAAGTGCCAGGAAGCCATGGCCATCATTGTTATTACCATGTGCTGATGAGCCCTGTACTGAGTGAAGAAGGGGCTCACGGTCAGGTTGTGAGGTGAATGGAAAGGGACTGGAGAGACAAACAGGAGATATGGATTAACATCACTGAACAAAATCACTGCAGTAATTGCTTTCCAGGCGCTACCTCATTTGTTTCCCCAGTACTCCTGGCAGAGGATATTATTCTCCCCATTTTTTAGTGACGAAACTGAGCACCCGAAAGGTTGGGTGATGTGAACAAGGCCTCCCTGCTGGTAAGGGTCAGGGCAAGGGTTTGAATCCAGCTCCGTGCCACCCCTCAAAGGCCATGCAACACTCCACTTCTGAGGAAGAAACCTCTCATGCATCCTTCACCTAGCTTACCTCTGAGAATTTGTAGCTCAGAAAGGAACGGGTAATGTGGGCATTTTCTCTCCACTTGCCCTTGAATTTGTCAATACTCACTGTGTATTTATTTATTTATTTTTGAGACAGAGTCTCACTCTGTTACCTAGGTTGGAGTGGAGTGGTACCATCTTGGCTCACTGCAACCTCCGCCTCTTGGGTTCAAGCAATTTTCCTGCCTCAGCCTCCCGAGTACCTGGGATTACAGGTGCACACCACCATGCCCGGCTAATTTTTGTATTTTTAGTAGAGGCGGGGTTTCACCGTTGGCCAGGCTAGTCTCGAAATCTTGACCTCAAGTGATCCACCAGCCTCGGCCTCCCAAAGTGCTGGGATTGCAGGCGTGAGCCACCGCCCCCGGCCTGTCAATATCATTGTGTTTCTGAGTCTATCCATCCATTCAAGGAGCGCTCACATACAAGTCACTGTGGGTTACCGCTAGGCTGAGATTGTTTTGCTTTTTTAATAGCTTGCCCTGAGAAGCATAAGGATGATTTCCTCTTCTGTCCCCTAAAAGAACCTGAAACTGTAAGTCTGAAAGCGTGGCACAGGGAGAACTGCCTAGGTGAGGGCAGCTGGCACGACCCTTCCCACTGCTTTCCTAACATTCCTAGCATTCATGTCACAAGCAAAGGCCACCGTGCCCCCTGCTTGAGCATGCTAGCCGGGCGGTGGGGAAGGAGGCAGTGCTCTCATGACGTTCGATTAATCAGTAAACTTCATCACAGGAACAGCACTACAGCACCCAAGAGGACTCAATGTGTAGGGGGAAAAGCTTTGGAGAAAGTGGAGGGTCGGAACATAAAATAATCATAAACTAGGCGTCCCAGACGGCATCTGGGATGGGAAGTACAATGATCATTAAAAAAAAAAAAAAAAAAAAAGTCTTGGACACTCTGTCCTACACCTTTCTGAAATGGCACAATCTGTCAGACCACATCTGATGCAAGGAAGAGCAAGACATGAGCGCTTTTCCCGGATAACAAAGCCAAGACTCCCATTCCTAAGCCCTGGCTCAGGTCTCCATCTCTTAAATCCAAGTGACCTCTACAAACTCTCCCAGAGAAGGTGCCCAGAACCCTTTTGGAAGCGAGGGACAGCGTTACTGTCTTTGGGGATGACACCTGCTCTGAGTAACTCACGGAAAACAAGTTCCAGCCGGGAAGCCCTTGGACGCGCCACACCTCCCTACCCGCAGCCCGTCCTGTGGCGCGCGGGACTCCAGAGTGCGTTTAGATGACAGGGGACCGACACGGCAGGGCCACCGCGGGAAGCCCTGCGCGCCACTCACCGGCCAGGGAAGCGAAGAGCACGGCCGCCGCGCTGAGCTGCCGGGGCATGGTGGGCGCTTGGCGAGGCTCTGCAGTGCGCGGCGAGGTCCGGGCAGGCCCCGAACCGGTGCCGGAGAAATCTACCTGTGCCGGAGAGACGAAGCCACCTGCTTTTGAGAAGCCGCCGAAAAGCCCGCCCAGGGCCGCTGGGCGTGGAGGGAAACTCCGCCGGCCCCCTCCTCCCCTTACGGAGCCGGGAGGGGCGGGGACGCGGCGCGGCGGCCGGGGCTCGGCCTCTGGAACACTTTACCGCACGCGCGTGGTCCCGGCAGCGCCGGCCTCCTGCGCTCATACCCTGGGTCTCCTCTTTTCTTTGTGAGACGAAGTCTCGCTCTGTCGCCCAGAGAGTGCAGTGGCGCGATCTCGGCTCACCACAACCTCCACCTCCCGGGTTCAAGCGATTCTCCTGCCTCAGCCTCCGCAGTAGTTGGGATTACAGGCGCCTGCCACCAGGCCCGGCTAATTTTTTGTATTTTTAGTAGAGATGGGGTTTCACCATGTTGGCCAAGCTGGTCTCAAACTCCTGACGCCAAGTGATCCGCCTGCCTCGGCTTCCCAAAGAGCTGGGATTACAGGCCTTAGCCACTGTGCCTGGCCCCAGGTGGTTTTACAGACCAGAAATTCCTGGAACAAAAACCACGCAATATCTTTTTTTTTTGAGTCAGGGTCTTGCTCTATCACCCAGGCTGGAGTGCAGTGACGTGATCTCGGCTCCCTGCAACTTCCACCTCCTGGCCTCAAGCGAATCTCCCGCCTCAGCCTCCTGAGTAGCTGGGTCCAAAGGCACGTGCCACCACGCCCAGCTATTTTATTTTATTTTTATTTTATTAAGTTTATGTAGAGAGGAGGTCTTGCTGTGTTGCCCAGGCTGGTCTCGAGTTCCTGGCCTCAAACGATCCTCCCGCGTTAGCTAACCGTTGGGATTAAGGCGTGAGCCACGGCCCACGGCTCAACATCGCTGACAGGCAACCTTTTAATGTCCTATCTGCCTCCTCTATTAATTGTATTGTCTGTCAAAACAACGATGTTTTGACAGGGCTTGAGTCCCAGTGGGGAATACACATTTAAGCAATATATTAGGAGACCCTCCTTATCACTGGATTGAGGGCTTTCAGCCTAGCTACAACTATTTTATCTTACTATGTTGCTCCAAACACTCTAATCAAGTACACTTAACCAAAGCTTGCAGTGCGTTTCAGAATGGAATTTTTATGGTGAAAGGTGAGGGTTAACTTGTACCAGTCAACCTAATTTCAGCAACTACCTGCTTTCTGATCTTTGAGACCGTTTATTCAAAAGACAATAAGTGGGTATAGACTGTGTGCCAGGCACTCTTCTTATTCCATTTAAGTGCCGTAGCCACTCTGTGTGGACACGGTTGTTATTATTGCTGCCCCATTTTGCAGATGGAGAAACTAAGCACAGAGAAGGGAGTTGCCCAGAGTCCCTTAGATAATAAATACAGAAACTGGGCCATAAATCCTATCTGCCTTGAGAGTGTAGGATTTTAAGCACTATGCCGTTGTAACTGAAGAGGTGTTCACAACTAGAATATAGTATATGCTTTTAAGTTGCTTACTGCCTAGTTGAGAGAAATTTATTAATATACAACAATATCTAGAGAGTGACTGATCAATTATTTACTACGCAGAGCCACACTAGATGAGGGATGGGATAGTGAAGGAGATGACTTCGTGGTGGTTTGCTCTCCAATCTTCTTCTTCTTCAACATTGTTTTCACTATTCTAAGTTCTCTGCATTTCCGTATTAATTTTAGAATCGTTTTGCCAATTTCTACCAAAAATCCAACTGAGATTTTTATTAGGATTGCATTAAATCTGTAGGTAAATTCAAGAAGATTTGACATCGCAACAATATTGAGTCTTCTGATTATAAACATGGTATATCTCTCCATTTATTTAGGTCTTCTGTATTTTTTCCCCAGATTTCTCAAATATTGTTTCAAGTTTGGCCCTAAGTATTTCATATTTTTTATGCTATTATAAGTGGCATTAAAATTGTTTTAAATTTCTGATTTTGCAGTACTAGTACAGTCATAGGTCGTTTAACGACAGGAATATGTTCTGAGAAATGTGTCATTTAGTGAGTTCATTGTTGTGTGAACAAACAAACTTAGATGACATCGCCTGCTACACACCTAGGGTATATGGGAAGGCCTATCACTGCTGGGCTACAAATCTGTGCAACATGGTACTGTACTGAATACTACAGGCAATTGGAAGATAATAGTCTTTGTATATCTAAACAGGTCTAAACATAGAAAAGTTTCAGTAAAAATACAGTATAAAAGATAGAAAGTGGCACACTTAATAGAGGGCACGTACCATGAATGGAGCTTGCAGGGCTGGGAGTTGCTGTGGGTGAGTCAGTGAGTGGCGAGTGAATATAAAGGCCTAGGACATTACTGTACACTACTACAGGATTTATAAATACTGTACACTTAGGCTACACTACATTTACTTTAAAAATTTTCCTTCCTTCAATAATGAATTAACCTCCACTTACTATAATTTTTGACTTTATAAACTTTTTAATTTTTAAAAAACTTTTTGATTCTTTTATAACAACACAGCTTAAAAGACAAGCACATTGTATGGCTGTATAACAATATTTTCTTTCTCTATATCCTTATTCTGTAAGTTTTTTTCCATTTTAACAATTTTTTAAACTTTTACAACTGTTTTTTTTTTGAGATGGAGTCTCGCTCTGTCGCCAGGCTGGTGTACAGTGGCACCATCTCGGCTCACTGCAACATCTGCTTCCTGGGTTCAAGGGATTCTCCTGCCTCAGCCCCCTGAGTAGCTGGGACTTCAGGCACATGCCACCACGCCCATCTAGTTTTTGTATTTTTAGTAGAGACGGGGGTTCACTATGTTGGCCAGGATGGTCTCGATCTCTTGATCTCGTGATCCACCCGCCTCGGCCTCCCAAGGAGCTAGGATTACAGGCATGAGCCACCACGCCCGGCCACAGTTTTTTTTGTTGTTAAAAATGAAGACACACACACACACGCCTAAGCCTATACAGGGTTGGGATTGTCAATATCACTGTCTTCCACATCTACATCTTGTCCCAGTGGAAGGTCTTCAAGGGCAGTAACATCCACAGAGCGGTCATCTCCTGTGATAAAAATGCTTTCTTCTGGTACATCTCCTGAAGGACCTGCCTGAGACTGTTTTACAGTTAATTTTTTTTTTTGTAAGTAGAAGGAATACACTCAAAGTAATGACAAAACATAATATAGTAAATATAGACACCAGTAACATAGTTGTTTATCAAGTATTATGTACTGTATATAATTGTATTGCTATACTTTTATACGACTGGCAGTACAATCTTAGTTTCTCACCACAAGTGATGCCCTCTCCACTTTGACATTATGACGGCTACAACATCAGTAGGTGATAGAAATTTTTCAGCCCCATTATAATCTTATCAAACCACCATTATACATGTGGTCAGTCATTGACTGAAATATGGTTATGTGATACATGACTGTATATGTATAAATACAATTTATTTTTGCATGCTAATCTCATATCCTGCAATCTTGCTAAACTCACTTTTTAGTTCTAGTCATTTTTCCTGGTAAACTCCACTGGATTTTCTATATAGTCTATTATATCTATGAATAAAGACAGTTTTACTCTTTACTTTCCAATTTGGACGTTTTTATTTCTTTTCTTGTCAAAAAGCCTTCTGTTGAGGCTTGAACCTCCAGGACATTGTGAAATAGCAGCCATGAGAGGAGAAATAGCAGCCATGAGAGGAGAAATGTGTTTTGTTCCTGATTTGAGGAGGAAAGCATACTTTGCCTATTAAGTATGATGTTAGCACTAGGTATTTTATAGATGCTATTTATCAGGTTGATAATGTTCCTCCTATTCCTAAATTTCTAAGAATTTTTCAAGAAAGGGATGTTAGATTTTATTTAATTTTTTTCTGTATATATTGTGATGATTACATGGTTTTTCATTTTGATCTGTTAATATTGTGACTTGTATTAATTTTTAAATATGAAATCAACCTGCATTTCAGGGAGAATACCACTCATTCATGATTTAGGGTCATTTTTATATATTGCTGGACTGTTTTTGTAAAATTGTGTTACGAATTTTTGTATATGTGCTTGTGACTGACATTGATCTGTCATGTTCCTTCTTTTTTAACAGCTTTGTCTGGAAGTAATACTGACTTCAGGAATTAATTGGAAAGTACTTCTTACTCTTCAATTTTATTTTATTTTATTTTATTTTATTTATTTTTATTATTATTATACTTTAAGTTCTAGGGTACATGTGCATAACATGCAGGTTTGTTACATATGTATACTTGTGCCATGTTGGTGTGCTGCACGCTCTTCAATTTTTTTAGAGGGATATGCCAAAATTTGTATTACTTCCTTAATGTTTTATAAAATTCCTTTGTGAAAACGTGTAGGTCTCGGGGGTTGGGGGCGGGTTTCTTTGTGGGAAGATTTTAAGTATAAATTCAATGTATTTAATAGATATAGGGCTATTGAGGTTATCCATTTCTCCTTGAGTGAGCTTTGCTAGGTGTATGAGATAGGAAGAAAACTGTTTCTCCCACTCTTACCCTCAAGACTTAATACAAAATATATGTCTTCTGGTCACCAAGATTCGTGGGATTTCTTTCCACCAACAACCAGTTCTACAGTGAACACCAATTAGGTATCCCATAATTCAATTCAATTCTGACACTATTTAACTGGAGTTAGAGTTTGATCCCACAAGTTAAGGGCTCCACCCCACAAGACTGTCTGTCACTTCAGACACCAATTGAAAGTAGCAAGTTGTCACCTATACTTCTGACTGACTGGCTATAGATTGGGATTCCCACTATACCCTCCTTGGGTTCTATTAATTTGCTAGGAAGGCTTACAGAACTCAGGGCAACACTTACTTACATTTGCTGGTTTATTATGAAGGATAATACAAAAAATACAGATGAACAGCCAGATGGAAGAGACACACAGGGCAAGGTATAAGAGAAGGGGTAAGGCGCTCCCATACCCTCCCTGGGATCGTCACCTTCCCAGTACCTCCACATGCTCAGCAACCCAGAAGCTCTCTAAACGTGTCCTTTTGGGTTTTAATGGGGCTTCCTTATGTAGGGATGACTGATTAAATCACTGGCCATTGGTTATCTACTTAACCTTCAGCCCCTCTTCCCTCCCTAGAGGTAGTGGGGAGGGGCTGAAAGTTCCAACCCTCTAATTACAT